GATACAGACAGACAAAACAAATAATGATACAGACAGACAAAACAAATAATGATACAGACAGACAAAACAAATAATGATACAGACAGACAAAACAAATAATGATACAGACAGACAAAACAAATAATGATACAGACAGACAAAACAAATAATGATACAGACAGACAAAACAAATAATGATACAGACAGACAAAACAAATAATGATACAGACAGACAAAACAAATAATGATACAGACAGACAAAACAAATAATGATACAGACAGACAAAACAAATAATGATACAGACAGACAAAACAAATAATGATACAGACAGACAAAACAAATAATGATACAGACAGACAAAACAAATAATGATACAGACAGACAAAACAAATAATGATACAGACAGACAAAACAAATAATGATACAGACAGACAAAACAAATAATGATACAGACAGACAAAACAAATAATGATACAGACAGACAAAACAAATAATGATACAGACAGACAAAACAAATAATGATACAGACAGACAAAACAAATAATGATACAGACAGACAAAACAAATAATGATACAGACAGACAAAACAAATAATGATACAGACAGACAAAACAAATAATGATACAGACAGACAAAACAAATAATGATACAGACAGACAAAACAAATAATGATACAGACAGACAAAACAAATAATGATACAGACAGACAAAACAAATAATGATACAGACAGACAAAACAAATAATGATACAGACAGACAAAACAAATAATGATACAGACAGACAAAACAAATAATGATACAGACAGACAAAACAAATAATGATACAGACAGACAAAACAAATAATGATACAGACAGACAAAACAAATAATGATACAGACAGACAAAACAAATAATGATACAAACAGACAAAACAAATAATGATACAAACAGACAAAACAAATAATGATACAAACAGACAAAACAAATAATGATACAGACAGACAAAACAAATAATGATACAGACAGACAAAACAAATAATGATACAGACAGACAAAACAAATAATGATACAGACAGACAAAACAAATAATGATACAGACAGACAAAACAAATAATGATACAGACAGACAAAACAAATAATGATACAGACAGACAAAACAAATAATGATACAGACAGACAAAACAAATAATGATACAGACAGACAAAACAAATAATGATACAGACAGACAAAACAAATAATGATACAGACAGACAAAACAAATAATGATACAGACAGACAAAACAAATAATGATACAGACAGACAAAACAAATAATGATACAGACAGACAAAACAAATAATGATACAGACAGACAAAACAAATAATGATACAGACAGACAAAACAAATAATGATACAGACAGACAAAACAAATAATGATACAGACAGACAAAACAAATAATGATACAGACAGACAAAACAAATAATGATACAGACAGACAAAACAAATAATGATACAGACAGACAAAACAAATAATGATACAGACAGACAAAACAAATAATGATACAGACAGACAAAACAAATAATGATACAGACAGACAAAACAAATAATGATACAGACAGACAAAACAAATAATGATACAGACAGACAAAACAAATAATGATACAGACAGACAAAACAAATAATGATACAGACAGACAAAACAAATAATGATACAGACAGACAAAACAAATAATGATACAGACAGACAAAACAAATAATGATACAGACAGACAAAACAAATAATGATACAGACAGACAAAACAAATAATGATACAGACAGACAAAACAAATAATGATACAGACAGACAAAACAAATAATGATACAGACAGACAAAACAAATAATGATACAGACAGACAAAACAAATAATGATACAGACAGACAAAACAAATAATGATACAGACAGACAAAACAAATAATGATACAGACAGACAAAACAAATAATGATACAGACAGACAAAACAAATAATGATACAGACAGACAAAACAAATAATGATACAGACAGACAAAACAAATAATGATACAGACAGACAAAACAAATAATGATACAGACAGACAAAACAAATAATGATACAGACAGACAAAACAAATAATGATACAGACAGACAAAACAAATAATGATACAGACAGACAAAAAAAGAGCCAGTTCGTGACTACAGGGGCATACTAAGGCTGGAAAACGATGACGTCAGAAGTCAAAATCTAACGACAAATACCATTGGATCCACTCTGCCCATGATGAAGTATAGGACGTGGCGGGTGGAACCCTCGTGTCACACGTGTCACACGCACATGTAGGTGTGATATGTACCTGTAGCAGCAGTGGGTTCCTGACCGGGGGGGGCAGTTCAGTCACTACCGGTGCATGTGTCACTATGCTGTAAAGGAAACACCGCCCACATGTGTATGGAATATGGATCCATACAACACTGGATCCGAGTGGATCCAAAAGTCAGCGTTGCCATGACTCCGGGCTGGCTGTGACATAGCACTTTCAAGCCCTATGATGATGAAAACTGTATATTCTTATCCCTGTCAAAAAGTAATAAACAAGAGAAGAGGGACTGTGCGATTCCACTGAAAGTTTCATTCGTAACTAGTTCTGTCTCTGTGTGGAAACGGACAGTCGCTTTATTCTGGTTGATGGGTGGGTAGACAGACAGAGAGGCAGACAGACAGACAGACAGACAGACAGACAGACAGACAGACAGACAGACAGACACACACAAATAAAACACAAAATTACCGTCACATACCCACACAGTTGCGCCCCGGTGGGACTGATCCAGGGGCATCCTCATAACCAGTATTACACTGACATAAGAACGAGCCAGCAGTGTTTATGCACTGTGCCATGACATGACATTGATGGCTGCCATCCTGACATTCATTAATGTCCACACATTGTCCACCAACGAGGCTAAAGCCAGCCACACATCTGAATGGTATGAATAAAAACCAATTTTAAAAATGAGTGTGCAACACCGAAGTTACTGTGCTAAACCCAATATGACCAATCGTGTAGTGTTTCAACCATTTGGATCAGTACAGCAGCATATTAGTGATCTTTTTCGTGTCACTGTGTGCAACATGTGAGAGACGTAGATTGTGCACACAGAGAGGGATATAGGGAGTGTGGCTATGTGCGTGTGTGTCTATAGCGTGTGTGTGTGCGTGCACACGTGTGTGTGTGCGAGAGAGGAGGAGGGGGGGGGGATGTGTGCACATGTTTGCGGCTTGCATTGACATGTGTGTGTACGTGTGTATGCGTGCAAGCGCTTGCATTGGTATATATGTGTGCATGCATGAGACAAGGAAATCAAGAGACAGAGGCATAAGGTTGTCAGAGTAACATCTGCAGGACTGGAAGAGGTACAACCGGTTGACATGCAGTCAAACTCACCCGCATGTAAACGATCCAGGTGTGTTAGTGCAGAGAGCGTTAGGGCCGCATCTAGCAACGGGGTTCACACACTCATTGATATCTTGACAGACAGTACCACTGCCCGTATACCCAGTGACACATCTGCAAATAAACGATCCAATGTTGTTCAGACAGTCTGCATTGATTGAGCAGCCACCGTTGAGCACAGCACATTCGTTGACATCGGTGCACGTCACTCCACTGCCTACAAATCCATCGCGACAGGTGCACGTAAACGACCCGGGTGTATTAGCACAATCGGCATTGTCATCGCAATTATCCAAGTTTTCATCGCATTCATTGATGTCCACACAGTTCAAACCATCACCGCGGTAACCCACAAGGCATGCACATGTGAACGAGCCGGGTGTATCAGTACAGGTAGCAGCTGCATGACAATCATCAATGTCTTCTGTACATTCATTGATATTCACACAAACAACACCATCACCGCTGAAGCCAGAGTTGCATTGACATGTGAATCCGGGTACTTGATTTGTACAGATAGCATTGTCATGGCAACTGTCCGTCTGCAAAGCACATTCATCAATATCCTGACACTGTTGTCCAGTACCAGTGAATCCAGGAAGACATGAACATGTCCATGAACCAACGGTGTTTGCACAGTTTGCGTTTACATCACAATCATCACTGCCCTCAAGACATTCATTGATCTCCTGGCACGAGAATCCATCGCCACGGAAACCAGCATTGCACCGGCACTGGAATGATGCGGGTGTATTGATGCAGGCGGCGTTGACATCGCATGGCTGATCTAGAGTACATTCATCTCTCTCCGTGCACATGACACCGTTGCCATCATATCCACTGACGCACGCACACATGAAAGAGCCCATGGTGTCGATACACAGCGCATTGTCATGGCAATTGTTCGTGCCCAGTGCGCATTCATCAATGTTTGCGCAGGACCTGCCGTCACCTTGGTAACCAGCTCTACATGTGCACGTAAAGCTGCCGGCCGTGTTTCGGCATTGTGCCATCGTGTCACAATCATTAGAGTTGTCAGTACACTCATCAATATCTGCAGTTAACACACATACACACACACACACACACGCACACACACACACGCACACACACACACAGACACACACACACACACACACACACACACACACACACACACACACACACACACACACACATACACACACACACACACACACACACACACACACACACACATACACACATACAGAGAAGTGTCTACCCTATTTGGTCATGCACATGTACATGGCACATGCACCACAATATTGCACATATGTAAATGTACATGCCTGCATTACATCACAATGACATCACCCTGTCATCACAATGACATCACCCTGACATCACAATGACATCACCCTGACATCACAATGACATCAGACACGACACCAGGGCATATGATAAGAAATTCGAAGTGCTCGGACGGCATGTCCTCTCATTTCCATTTTTGGCCGGACATGTCTGGACGTATCAAAACCCTTAAAAATATCGCCAACGATTTCAACACCGCTGCACGACGTGCTGTGCAGAACATTCCAACAATAAAACACGAGTGGGGATCGCAGAATAAGGCCAGATACATCTCCTCCTCGACATTGGCAACATCAGTACTGCCGTCGGTCTGGACACTGAAGAAATTTGATTTCCCTAGGTTATTCTTCAGCTGCTCTCGGAAAGAATGACCGATGAAGTCGCAGTACGTTGCGCAGGCCAACTCATTCTTGCCACCTGTGCTGAAGCTCACGCCATGCCGCTCCTCTAGCCGACAGAATGACTCAAAGTTTGCAAAAGCGACGTGCTCCTTGCAGAGAAGGTAAGCTACGTCGACATTTCGACGAGCGATAGCTGCTGCAGACGCATCCACCGTGCACAGCGATTTCGCGATGGGAGCATAATCGATGGGATTGCTGCTCTGTGACTGCTCTCTCCGGAAGAGGCCCATCGCCCGCTTATGCATGTCTGTTTCAGCATGATCCTTGAATGCGGACGTCCTCAAATTTCTTGAGCCGACGATGAAAGCCTCGCTAAAATTCTTGCTGCTTTTCACTTGCTCCTCGAATTTGACGCACACCGCGCATTTTAGTATTTCCACCAATTGCCGGTCGTCTTTCTGTCGCTCGTACCTCAGCCAAACGGAGGTACTTAGTTCCTTGTCACTATCGGAAACACTATCGGATTTCCTCCGGAAACGTCCGGAAAATGTCCGATGTCCGGACGTTATCATGCCCACTGGACACCAAGCACTACACAGTGCAGCCATCAGCAGAGTAAAGGCAGACAGAGATCTTACCAATGCAGGTTGAGCCATCGCCAGTATATCCTCGGTTACATTGGCAGAAGTGTGATCCGACTGTGTTTTCACACACTGCATTGACACTGCAATTGGACATGCCTGCTGTTACACATTCATTGATGTCTGAATAGAAATAGTCATCCATACCAAGAACAGTCAACAGTCAGAGATGAACAATAGAAAAGAGATCAAGCAATGCAACTAAAGGAGGAAGCAATACGAACAAACAACACAGTAGAGAGGTTGAAGTTCGCGCAAATTTTATTTGACATCACAAAAAGCGAAACTTTGCACAAACGTTGGAGGAAACGCGAAGCAAGCTTTCACAGTAAATTTCGCTGATCGTGCGCCGGTGGTGAGCCACCCTAATGCAATGGTGTGCGCTTCACCTTCCACAGTCCAGTGCAATCCATTGCAATCCAGTACAATCAAGAGTGCAATCCAGTATATATAGGCTGCTCTTTGCCTGGTCTGCTGGTGCTAGTTTTCCGACATGGCAGCCATTGTTACCATGGTTATGGCATGTTGATTCATGTCCGGTACCATCTTCGTTCTCCTACCTCCACATCTCCCAGAGTGGGCTACATCAGCAGCAATACTTTTTTTAAATATATAATTTGCAGATGGACCTGGTTTCGAAGTCCCAGGTTATGTACAGGCCAACCCGTCTTGCTGTGTGTCCCTGGCCATGGACAACATAGTCAGAGACTTCTGTGTGTGTTATTGTCATGAAAGTGGACCACAAAGACACAATAAATTAGGTAAGGCTCGGCTTGATCAAATGGAACAACCACAGCAGCAGTAGCAGCGGTAGCAGCAGCAGCAGCAGCAGCAACTGTCACGTATATTCTAGTTTCTCGTCATCTCACTCACCTGAGCAGAAGAAACCACCGTAGCCGGGCAGACAAATACAGCGGAAAGAGCCGACCAGCTCGATGCACATGGAGTTGCGTATGCATGGTCGCAGGACAGTGCATTCAGCAAAGTCTGGAGTTTGAAAATAACACAGTCAAGCAGTCAAGCAGTCAAGCAGTCGAGCAGTCAAGCACCACACAAACAGCACATGTACATGCTGCAGTGCATTAGCAATGTAGCATTAGCAATGTAGCATTAGCAATGTAGCATTAGCAAATGTAGCATTAGCAATGTAGCATTAGCAATGTAGCATTAGCAATGTAGCATTAGCAATGTAGCATTAGCAATGTAGCATTAGCAATGTAGCATTAGCAATGTAGCATTAGCAATGTAGCATTAGCAATGTAGCATTAGCAATGTAGCATTAGCAATGTAGCATTAGCAATGTAGCATTAGCAATGTAGCATTAGCAATGTAGCATTAGCAATGTAGCATTAGCAATGTAGCATTAGCAATGTAGCATTAGCAATGTAGCATTAGCAATGTAGCATTAGCAATGTAGCATTAGCAATGTAGCATTAGCAATGTAGCATTAGCAGTCAGTGATTGTGACAGGAAGCATACTAGCTCCACTCGACACTACAAATCAAACTCACTTTTTCTGGACTAACCAAGAACTGAGGGACAGTGATCAGAACGAATGCATGCCAAACAGCTAGATATCCAGAGATAGAGCAGCACGCTCCCTCTCCCTTGCCTCACAGCCTTGCCGGAACACTCATTCTGGTTTGGGCCAATGTTATCTAAATGCGTGGAGAGTGCGGACCAGAGTGCATGCAACTACTCATCCTATCAGCACACCAACTCATCCATATCAGCACACCAACTCATCCATCCAATCTAGAGTCAACCTATGCATACTGTTCTTGCACTTGCATCCAAACTCCTGCTATTCATCTTGTGCTCTATCGACTAGACAAGAACTCTGAAAACATTCCCCGGAGAGTCTCACGAAATGGATCAATATCCAAAATGCATCTTACTTGGTAGAAGATAGCAAGAGTAGATAAACAAGAGTGTGCAACTCCGGATCTCTTCTGCACAATCTGCAGATACCCCAGCAAGTGGCGGAATTTTTTGTTGACGTCACCTTTTTTTCAGAAAAACGCACATTTTGCCGCAGAGCAGAGTGAAAGCACGTGCTGGGCACCGACCTTGTAGTGTAAAGCCCGGCCAAGTGCACGAGGCAAAACTTTCCGAACGACTCGCAGCGCGTGTGTCGTAGAAGAGATTACGTCAACAAAAATTCCGCAGTGGGCCAACCCATCCCGGAGTTGCACACTCTTGTTTATCTACTCTTGAAGATAGCTATTACTGTCTTAGATAGACCTTTGTGTTCATTATTTCTTGACAGAGACTGGCCACTTCTAGTGGGCTCCTGCTTGATGGCGAAGACCCCATTGGTGAAAAACCTGGTGTTGGAATACCACTCACTCACAAAGGCTTTTAAAGAGAGCAGAGAGTTGATGGCAGTGCTTACCAGTACATGTTATTCCATCGCCCATGTATCCAGAGTTACAGCGACATGTATAGGATCCCATAGTGTTATCACACATGGCATTCACATCACACATGTGTACACCAGTAGCACATTCATCGATGTCTGGAAGCCAAGTGCAAGTAGAGAAAACAAACATACATGTAGACAGATATACCCGTACGAATACAGACAGACGGACGGACGGACGGACAGACAGACAGACAGACCCACAAACAGACTGACAGAGACTGATGGATGGACAACAGACAGGTGAAAAACGGACAAATACTGATCGTGCTAATGCATTGTACAGTCGGATCTAATCTGACTAAACACATTTGCGGTTTTGGGAACAATCGGATACACAAGGTGAGTGAGCTAACGGAAAGATTTGTAACACTTTACTCCATGGTTATATGATTTTGCTGGGTATATGCTCCAAGTAATGCAGGGCTGAGGGCAGCGCATTACTGAGACAGGAGAGAAACTCAATATCTGATCAAACAGTACTAGGGTCACATGATCAGTGGTAGAGTAACACGGTCAGCGATACGGTCACATGATCAGTGGTAGGGTCATGTGATCAGTGGCATGGTCACATGATCAGTGGTATGGTCACGTGATCAGTGGTAGGGTCACATGGTCAGTGGCAGGGTCACGTAATCAGTGGTAGGGTCATGTGATCAGATGTAGTCACATGATCAGTGGTAGGGTCACATGATCAGTGACAGGGTCACATGATCAGTGGTAGGGTCACATGATAAGTGGTAGTCACATGATCAGGACTACATCACTCTGAGTAAGAGTACACTGACTGCACTGACCTGCGCAGTTCCTGCCATCTCCAGTGAAACCAGAGTCACACGAACAGACAAATGAACCCTGGGTGTTTGTACAGCCTGCGTTGGCATGACAATCTGATGCACCTGTAGTGCACTCGTTAATATCTGCAGCACAGAACACACAGATCACACAGAACACACAGATCACACAGAACACACATACAAAGCATACAACACACCACTTACATTTGGGGAAAACAACCATTACACATCAACAGGTGACTCTAGAACCGATCGGTAGTGTTATATCATGCAGTGTTGTTTCATGCATACATTCTGCTAGTCAACATCCTTTCCCACTGCAATCTTAGGCTTTGTTTTGCAAAGTGTCCATCAGCGTACAATTTCATTCTATCTTTCATTTCCATACTCGACTGTCATCTCTTATCAATATACAAACACCAAACTCGTCATGGATAACTCTGACTGTCATGGCTATAAAGCTAGGAATACATCAGTGAGTCCATTCCACCAGTGCTTTGACAAGACTGTAGTGCCAGGAGGAGGCTTGCAAACACTTACCAACACACACTTGTCCTGATCCTTGATATCCCGTGTTGCACTGACAGGCAAAGCTTCCAGCATTGTTGCTACATGTAGCACTGGCGTGGCAGGTATGCGCCAGCTGGCATTCGGCCGGCAGCGGGCCGGGGAACGTCGTCGACACACCCGGTGTGCATTCGTTAATATCGAAACACTGCCCAGCACGTCCAGTGCCGGCATCACAGAACCCAGTGTTGCAAGTGCAGCTGAATGATCCCGCCGAGTTGACACATTCTGCTTGAGCATCACACGTGGCAGTGCCTGATTCACACTCATTCACATCAGCACATTGTACACCAGTGCCAGAGTACCCGATTCGACATTGACAACGGAAAGACCCGATGGAGTTGAAACAGTCGGCGTTGGCATGGCAATTGTCCGTGCCGACGGCGCATTCATCAATATCGGCACAGAGCTGACCGGTGCCAGTGTAACCACGGTTACAGCTACAGGCAAATGACTGCGGTAAGTTAGTACAGGTAGCATCATTGCTGCAATTGTGCGTGTTCTGAGCACACTCATTAACATCAGAACACTGTGTACGCCCAGCACCGGTCAATCCAGCCTCACACATACACGTAAACGACCCAATGCTGTTTGTACATACGGCATCGGCAACACAGTCGTGAGTACGCTCTGTACATTCGTTAATATCCTGACACTGAGATACACCATCTCCGCTATACCCCACGTTGCACATACAACTGAACGAGCCGGCTGTGTTGGAACATGACGCCTGGGCGTGACATACGGGTGGCTGTTGAGAACATTCATCAATATCAACGCACGTCTGTCCATCACCCGTATAGCCAGTAGTGCAGGCACATTGGAATGACCCAATCGTGTTGGTACATACAGCATTGACATGACACGTACTATCAGCTAACTGACACTCGTCAATATCCGTGCAGACTAGAAGACCGTCTCCCGTGTACCCATCGGAGCACCGACACGTGAACGAACCGTCCGTATTAGTGCAAATGCTTCTGACTCCCTGGCATGGCGACACTGGTAGTGAGCATTCATTGATGTCCGTGCAACTCATTCCATCACCTGCATGTGTGGCAGACACATGGGCGGCACACACACATATAGTGTAAGGTGGAGGGGGAGTTATCTCATATTTACCATAAACAGCTTTACCGGGTGTTACCGGCCGTCGTGAGTTCCCTTCGGGAACGGACACGATAATTTACTTTATTTATTTATTTTTACCATAAAACAGCAAGGAGTATGATGGCAATAGATTATTCACGACCCCTCCTCCAAATACAGATATTCTGCAATACATGTTGTAGTCCGCCGATTGCCAAATTTCACTCATTGCTCGGCTTTTGGTGCATCATGCATCATGAACTAGTGTCCATTCCATGCAAGGCTTCTTGTCCCAGACACGGAAGCAGACATAGGTACCGTGCGACACATTTATTCTGTTATCCTGGTCACACCAAGCCGCCAGCAGCAGCCTGACCACCCATAGTTGATAGCAGCAGTTACGGCGGCAGCAACAGCTGCATTGATAACAGCATTCGTAGCAGCAGCGTCGGTAGCACACATCCGGGATGCCACATCAGAGCAAAGCCTTGAATTAATAGCACACCAAAAAGAAACGTCAGTCTGACTGACTTTTCCGCACCCATAGGATAGCAACCAGCAACAGCGGAGTAGAGCAATCAAACAGCACACCCGGCAACAAGAGCACACTCGGCAACAAACAGCAAACCTGGCAACAAGAGCAGCACTGGTGCAGTGACTTACCAGTATATCCAGGTGAGCATTGACATTGAAATGATCCCATGGTGTTAGTACACTGTGCATTGTCATGGCAAGTATCAATACCAAGTGCACACTCATCCACATCAGCACAGACTACACCTGAGCCAGTATAGCCAGTGTTGCAGCTACATTGATAACTGCCCATCGTATTCGTACACGTTGCCATGGTGTGACATGGCTGCATTATGGTACATTCATTGATATCTGTACATACATACACATACACACACACACACACACACACACACACACACACACACACACACATACGCATGCACATGCACATACACATGTATGACTGAGCACAAATCCATCATGTACACAACCGTAAAAGCAACAGCAATGATCCCTTGTTGGGACCCATGTGCAGTATAGTCTTGGTGTGGCGGTCCACTTCCATAAACCTACCCCCACCCCCTACAACCAGGGTTAGTCATATAGATGTCAACTGACCTGGATATGTTGACTATCTGTACGCAGGGACCACCGTTAGGGTGTCTATGAAGCACCAGTCGACTGAGATGGGCTTCACTGTGAGAGAACTACAGTCTGCACTGGGTTACGAATATGTGAGACTGTCCTTGCAGAGCTGTGCTGCTGATCATTCAGGGATTAGCAGTGGCGTGCACCGAGTCTTGAAAGGGGGGTTTCCAGAGTTGGTAATTTTTATCTGGAGACCCACTGTATAATTATGTATTTGTACACATGCGCATCCCCCGAACATCCCACCGGAGATAACGGCGAGGGCTAGGGAGGAGGGGGGGGGGGGGAGACTCAAGATCAGTGGTGCAGGGCACCAATGGACACTGGTGCTGATGAGATGTGGGTGTTACTCCACCACTATGCTCTCTATCTCTTCCAGCTAGCACTCCAGCACACTCGCACATGCACTGAGCCACAACTAGTCAACAAGGAATCAAGAGTTGAAATATTGAAATAGTGGTAAAGTTGGGAGAAAAGCAAACTGTTCTTTTTCCACGAGATCCAAGATCCATCAGGAAAAAGGACATGCACAAAATGGCGACCATGTCGTCCATTGACGCGTAATCATGGTAATCACAAACTAGTGCAGCGACCAAAGAAAAGACACAAGTGAAGAAGAAACAGCGCTGCAGCAAGAAGATCGGATCGCTGCAGTCGCTAAAATGCACTAGCCTACTGACTGTAGTTCCACGTGAGCATGCAGTCACGTGGTCATAAACAGAGTGCGTACACACTCACGTCATACCGATACGTCATACATGACAAAAAGAAAAGAAAGGAAAGTCACGCGCGAGTCAAACAAATCAAAGAGCGCGAGACTACGTACTGCAAATACTACGAAGAATTTGTTTGAGAACAAATGCACACGACGAGGAATTTGTTGAGAACAATTGGACAAGAATATATATCTCTTCGAAACTAGAATGGAGTCCGTGATGAGAATTCCAACGAGCCTGGACGCAGCTACAAAGTAAGAATACAATCAAATAACTAATATCGTCAGAACTAGTGTAACAATAAAAGCAGTCGATTTACCACAGTGTTATCTCTATATTTACACCAGTCCCCCAGGTAACACAGTGTCAATCGATGTAACGACTCGGGCGTTGGATATGACGACGGTTACGCAGACTACGATCGGCGACAGCCAACGGCTCAACATCGAGATCACACTGCACGGGCAACGCAGGCACAGATCCAGACTCGCACGACAACACAGATTCAGCAGCAGGTTTAATCAACTGAATGTTAACAGTCTTTTGTTGATCAAAGCCATCCACAGAACGACACATACGCACGGAACCAGGACCAAGGATCTCGGTGACCTTCCACCCAGCTTCGAACGGTGGCAAGCGCTTCTGCGAACGAGCGGGGTGACGGAGCAACACAGCATCACCGACAGCATATGGATTGGAAGCGCTGCCCTCAACAAAATCATGAGACGACAACTCAGCTTCGACAAAGTCACGAATACGAGCGGACCGACCAGCAAGGCTGTCCACCCAATCACTAAGGCTAGAACCAACAGCAGACTCGTCAACAATTAACTGACGTGGAAGCCATCCACACATAGCTTCCATTGGGGACACACCAATCGCGGCATGGAGTCGCGTACGGTAGTAGTGCAACAGCACAGGCAACTCAGACTTCCAATCACTCGAGGAGTCGAGCATCTTGCGAATGAGGGTCAACAAAGTGCGATTAAATCGCTCAGCAGAACCCTGAGACTGGGGATGCCTAACTGCACCAGTACGCACCTTCGTGCCAAACACACGAAACAATGACTCGACAATGCCATTCACAAATTCAGTACCATTGTCCATACGAACAACTTCTGGGGAGCCCCACTTCAAACAAACATCGGTCACAGCTTCAGCAACTGACTGACCATCATGCGCACGTAGGGGAACAACCTCGACCCATTTAGTAAACACATCAACAATCACAAGAACACAATGAAAACGCCCACTGCGGTCAGAACCAAGTTCAAGAGTATCAATAACAATCTCCTGCCAAGGCTTACCGGGCAAATCTGGGCGAGCGGGATCAGCCGTCGGACCACTCTTACTACTGGCTGAAACACAAGCTTGACACCGCCGGACAAACTCAAGGCACAACGACGACATACAAGGGAAATAGCACTTAGAACGAAGCAGATCATACATCATTCGCCAATTACCATGGCCAGAATTCACATGAACAGAAGAGACGACAGCATGTTGCAAAGACGTAGGAATCACTGGCACAGACACCAAACCATCAATAGGCAACTTGATACTACGCACTAACATACCATCATCAACAAGCAATTGATCACGCACCTTTATGAACTCAGGAATGGAGACCAACTCACCACACTCCAATTGAGCAACAGCAGCTCGAATGGTGGGATCCACCTTCTGGCCTTCACGTATCTGAGCTAACGTGACAGGGCCAACCACAGACAGGCAGGCGGCCACAACATCAGTCGGTGCAAGAGCCTTTGCATACTTGATCCAGTCAGTCGGGACACGCGTCAGCTGATCAGCACGGTTCTCGTTCGTCGGAATCCACACGACCTCGATCGTCAGACCTAGCGTAGCGATGAGATCATCGATGATCTGGAGGCGACGACGCACAAGCAGCTCTTGCAGACCACCAGTCTTCACACGTTTGGAGTTGGTTACTACTTGCGTCAGCCATGCTGCCACTGTCTTAGAGTCAGTCAACAGCTTGAAACGGGAAACACCCCACTTAGCGGCAAGGGAAATGCCTTCGACAGCGGCTTCCAATTCAGCAATGTTAATATGCCGCTTGTCGTCAGGCTTACGAAGCCACGAACCATCCTCGACGATGTCACCACCGACCTCCAACGCCACGCCGACAGCAATATCAGACGCATCGCACCACACCTGGCATTGGCTTTCACCGTTGGGGTCTACGTGCCACACACCGGTAGCAGGATCGTGCTGGCTTAAACGGCAGGCGAGACTCATGCAGCGCTGAACGAGATCTGCAGGCAACGGGTCGTCCCAGCCAAGCTTCTCCAGACATGCCAAACGCTTCAGCCAACTACAATGAGGACGAAGCCATGACGCAACAGGGTAGTGGCTCGTCAACTGGCCACACCACTTGTAGAGCTCACGTTTCGTCGTGACATCAGCAAATGCGACATGCGACTCATCACGCCGGGACCAGCGCACTCGACCATCATCAGACTCGTTGAGCTGCAGTCCTAGAACCCGTGCAGCCGACATCTCCATAGCAGGCTTAGTTGGCAGGCTGTAGCTAGCGAGCTGTTCTGTCAACACAGTCCGTTGACTCTTGGGGACAATGATGTCGTCGACATAGTTATCTGTATCGGGCAAGCTGCCGGTAGCGTACTTGATGATGGTGTCCATGAACTTCGGCGCCACACTCAGGCCAAACGCCATGCGCGTCATCACGTAGCGAACACCACGCCACTCGACAACTTGGAACCGTAGCAATTCCGGGCTGACATGGATTTGCAAGTACGCCTTGGTAATGTCCACTAACTCAAATTCATCAGCTTCACCCTTGAGCCTCCACTGGCGCAACGTCTCGGCGCACACAGGCGACTTAGTGCCAGGGTGGGACACCAACAGCTTATTCAGGTGGCGATAATCTAACACCGGACGCACAGGCGTAGACGTCTTGTGCGGCTGACTCACAGCCATCAATGGCAAGACACAGGCAGGGCGACCATGGGTCTCAGCGTCGTGCTTCACCAGCCAGCCTCGCTCAATCCACTCATCTACAGCAGAGCAGAATTGCGTCTCCTCTGCCGCGGTAATTTTCTTCCGAGGGTACTCGCTGATACCAGGACCAACACGGCCATTGGGTTCTTCACCAGACTTCCATACCCACTTGACCTCCCAACGCTTCTCAGCCGACATCCAACGCATCTCGCCGTCATCAACCTTCAGGATGACATCGTTGCCGTGAGTCTCTACATGGACATGATGCGACAGCTTCGATGGCGGGCGCGTCGGAGCTGCAGACATTGGCGAGTCATCGGCGACTGGCTGGAGAACTTCTTTGTCAGCACTAGGGGTCATACCGTCGGTCAGCTGATCCTCATACACTTGTACACGTGTAGGCTGGCCAGGAGGCGGCACAGCTGCTGATGCTACTGACACCGACGGGCAACTATCTGCATGGGCTGGACCGGGCCCAATTACGACACGCACAAGCTGATCATTAGCATACTCTACAGACAGGCGCCCACACAAGGTCACCAGGTCAATGCCAATCAGTACATCGGCGGCCACTACACATAAATCAGGCACAACGACAGCATTCAATACCACTTCATGAATGCTCACCGGTCCGTCGTGTCGCCAAAACTTGAGGGCCACTGTGCCACACGTCTGCATGGTGTTGCCATCCAGTGCTACGATGCCGTCATTATTGGTCAATGGCGTCACATCGAGACCAAGGCGATGCAGCAGGGCTTCTGTCACTAACGTGCGAGTGGATCCAGTGTCTATCACAGCTGCAGCACGCACACTGTTACTCGCGTCAGGACCAGCACATTCAACAAACACACGAGGTAGCTTCGGGCACGATGGTGATGCAGATGCCAGGAGGCACACGTCCTTGGAGTGCACCGAGGCCCCAGCAACTTCTGAGCTAGCCTGTGTATCCAGCCACTTCTTCCTCAGCAAGCAGTCCTTCTTGACATGCCCTTTCTTGTCACAGAAGTGGCAGAACGGGTCCTTGCGCCGGTGCTCTTGCTTGGCCGCGTGACCATTCCCTGCTCGGGATAACTTCGGGCAATGCCTTTTGAAATGGCCCGGTTCTCCACAATGGTGGCAAAGCCGCGGTGATGGCGTGGCAACACTGTCTTGCACATATGTGGCAGCTGCGGACACTGCACCAACTCTGGCGCCGGTGGCTGATCGCAGTGCCCGGATCCTATCAAGGCATTCAGACACCTTCAGGTCCCTGCCTGCCATGGACAAACGGACATCCTTGGCAAACTCAATTGGCAATCCGGCCAACAGCTGCTCGATCACCACAGGATCGGTATCGCTGTCACTCTTATGTCCAGACAGCTCTAACAGACGGCACAGCTCGGCAACATATACCTCTGGACTTTCATCCACTTTCAGCTGCCGCTGCTTAAACAAGCGGTACGCCTCACTGCGGCTCACGCAGAAGGACTTCCGCAGGATGCTCCTCACTGCATCCTTATCTCGCTTCTCCGTCTCACTCAGTTTGGAGAACACACGGTGGGCTTCGCCCTCCAAGAACAGCGGCAACCGTTTCATCTGTTGCTCCGTGCTTGTCCACCCCGATATATCTGCCAGTACTTCAAACTTCGACCAAAACATGTCGAAGTCGTCCACTCGGCCACGATACGGCTTCACGAATCCATCCAACTTAAGTGACGACATTTCTCTGTTGACAGAAGACGCACTGTCACTAACACTAGTATGATCAGCACCACCTTCACTGTGCCTGGATACCACGGATGTACTATCCTCAGGACTCCCAGGAGTCAACAAATTTTCAATGTCACGATCACGATGTCCAGGCGCCTGTGGAGTTGTCGGTGTGCTACTGATACCCCTGCCTCGAGCGTTCCTAAGTCTAGGAGGCATCGACTACCAGGCCACAACAGCACGCTTCGTCAGCACTCTACCAGTGCTCAGCGAACAACACACGACACGTGAACGATCGATCCGGACACAATTTACGAATTCAAGAAAATTCCAATTCGAAACCACGCTCGTATTCTCCGGTCCAAACCAGCGGGGTTTCGGCACCACGTTGTTACTCCACCACTATGCTCTCTATCTCTTCCAGCTAGCACTCCAGCACACTCGCACATGCACTGAGCCACAACTAGTCAACAAGGAATCAAGAGTTGAAATATTGAAATAGTGGTAAAGTTGGGAGAAAAGCAAACTGTTCTTTTTCCACGAGATCCAAGATCCATCAGGAAAAAGGACATGCACAAAATGGCGACCATGTCGTCCATTGACGCGTAATCATGGTAATCACAAACTAGTGCAGCGACCAAAGAAAAGACACAAGTGAAGAAGAAACAGCGCTGCAGCAAGAAGATCGGATCGCTGCAGTCGCTAAAATGCACTAGCCTACTGACTGTAGTTCCACGTGAGCATGCAGTCACGTGGTCATAAACAGAGTGCGTACACACTCACGTCATACCGATACGTCATACATGACAAAAAGAAAAGAAAGGAAAGTCACGCGCGAGTCAAACAAATCAAAGAGCGCGAGACTACGTACTGCAAATACTACGAAGAATTTGTTTGAGAACAAATGCACACGACGAGGAATTTGTTGAGAACAATTGGACAAGAATATATATCTCTTCGAAACTAGAATGGAGTCCGTGATGAGAATTCCAACGAGCCTGGACGCAGCTACAAAGTAAGAATACAATCAAATAACTAATATCGTCAGAACTAGTGTAACAATAAAAGCAGTCGATTTACCACAGTGTTATCTCTATATTTACATGGGGCTCCTCCGATCTCTATCATGCCCGCACAAACGCGTCTGAGAAGGAGCCAGGTCCAGGAGAAAGGACAGAAATAAGAGCCTAATGAGGAATTGAGGGAGGGGACGATGTTACATGGAAATGTTGGTATAACCAGTAGCAGGATAAAACGGATACCTTTTACATACCAGCAGTGCAGCAGTTATTTGCAAAAAGGTGCTAAAGTCAATGTGCACATATACAATAATACATGTTTGTCGTATTGAACACGTAAAGACTTTTTAAAAGTTTGATAGGCCTAGCCGCCCAGGCTACACACTACAGTCTATAGCAGGTACTTCACTACTCCACTCCAGGCATGTTCGTTTCATCAAAACACTGCTTCCATTCGACGTATCTTTCTTTCTGTTTCCCATGACGAAGTTTTCAGCATGTATTGGCAATGCTCCTTATCATGCTTATGATTTCAACCAAGAGTTATGGACCCTGCTTCGATGGAAACTCGCGGAAGAAAAGCGAAGCCCGCGTCCTTGAGTCGCGGCCGAAGCAGCGCTTCGTTCTGCAGTAGCGCAAGTGGATCATGGACGCACATTTTGACGTCTTCCAGTCGACAATGTTTTTGGCGAACATCTCTGCTGCGCATATGAGCGACAACAAAAGGCTGTGGAGATCTTGATTTGAGTCAACAGTTTGGAAGGAGATATCGTCAATCATAATTCATATCCTTGAACTGACTTGCATCGCGCATGCTTGACTCAATTTTCTTGTCAAAACGGATTTCTTGAACGTCATCGCCAATCCAGGAGCGGGCCAGCTGGAGACGGATCTCTCTGTAGCTACTCTCCACTATAGAAAGAGAGAATAACGTATTTTGAGCAGCATGAAAAGCAACTCTCTCTCTCTCACTTCGAAATAAGGACACAGTCACTGTACTGTACACTGCCCGTCGATCGACGCGTATGCACTATCGATAACCAATCCAGTTGGCACATTTTTGCAAGACTGCCCGAAAAAAGGTGGTTTCCAGACACCAAAAAACTCATACGGTGCACGCGCCTGATTAGTGGCAATACTGGGATACTGGGATACTGGGATATTATGGTGAACAATGTTGGGTTAGCAACACTGTAAAACTTACCTGTACATGCTGTCCTTATACAGGCATGCCACCAGTATTGCACTTACCTACACATGCTGCCCCTACGGCCATGTAACCAGTGTTGCATGGACATTGAAATGACCCTCTGGTATTCACACACATGGCCAACATGTGACAGTTATGTACTCCCAAGGTGCATTCATTCACATCTGAGTGGAGAGAAGAGGAAATGACAACAGCCGTCAAGCTCAGAGCAAGAAAGACAGCTAGTGGCCAACATTTAGAATACTAAATAATAGAGAACTAGTGAATGAGTAATGGAAATAATGGAATCCAGCGCAAGTTCAGAATCACAGTGACATCACAGTGACATCACAGTGACTCGGGCAAAACTTGTACAGTTCACATAGTGGAACATCGTTTGAAAGGTTTGAAAACCTGCTTCGCTTCTGTCTAAGGTTTTGGGTCTATTTCTGAAAGACTTTCTAAGAAGCTGCACAGCTACATGCTATCCAGCGAGGCTTCTAACCAACTGCTTATCAGGAGACAATCCGTGCACATAGACTAGCAAACGGATATTACCAGTGCACTAGTGACAGTGTGTACCAGTGTGTACCCGTGTGTACCCGTGTGGACCAGTGCGTAGCTCTACTGGTACAGACCTGTGCACAAGACTCCATCTCCTTCAAAGCCAGGGTCACATTGGCATTGAAACGCTCCGGGGGTGTTTGTACACATAGCGTCACGACTGCAGTTGTGCAGCTGATTGTCATTGCATTCCACAATATCTACACAACACGCGCACGCACACACACACACACACACACACACACACACACACACACACACACGCACGCACGCACGCCGCACACACACACCAGAATGAACGCATGTGCGCACGCACACACACACACACACGCACACACACGCACACACACGCACACACACACACAAACCCACGCATGTCAATAAAGCCAGCATGAGCACTGTAGTAGATGTCAGTTATGATGAATGAGCAAGATGAGTTCCTGGTGATAAACGATTGTTCATGACGAGGAATGGTTGCCGGTGATTCAATGTGTTGACCTAACGTAAATACATTGACCTAACGGACATACCTTGACCTAACGGGCATACCTTGACCTAACGGGCATACCTTGACCTAACGGACATACCTTGACATACGATACCGTTTCCTCGGTAACCCCGGGCACAGTTACAGGCAAATGTTCCTGGCTGATTGCTACACAGAGCATTGGTGTCACAGTTATGACTGTTATCGGTACATTCATTAATATCTGCAGGCCAGTACACACACACACACACACACACACACACACACACACACACACACACACACACACACACACACAAACACACAAATAATCAATGTCCACCACACCCATCACCAGCAATCAGCGACATCGCGCCTAGCGCCTGCCAAAAGTTTTTCAAATAAAATATTTCCACCCAAACGTCACTGCTGGTGCTGAGCTCGCTCGCGCGATCGAGTGTGAAGTTTTTTTTGTGATCTCAATGAAAAAGGATTTTTTTGAACTCACGCTGTACACAACATAACAAGCTCTCTGATCTGCATGTCTTTTTCGGTGGAGGTGATTTTTGTTGTTGTTATTGTTGTGGCTGGCGACGAGAAGTCCCTCATTTACGCTAGGTATCTCATAGACAGAATGAGCCTGGTTTTTACGCCAAGCTGATGTTTTCAGCAGCAGTCCGCTGTGGAGAAAATTCAAGCAGTCTTAGGGGCCTGAAGTTTTCGCTGCTTCTTACCGGATCGACAGTGGGAAAGAAGGTACGTTTATTTTATTGTAATAAATCAGGTCGCGAGGTCGACACAATTGAGCTGTTCGTTGCACTGTGAATTTTGTTGCTTTAGGGTGGCAGCGTGCAGTACCTTGTGAAATGGAGAGACTTTATCCTCTATGAACTTGGGAGTATGAAGATATCAGATATCAGTGACGATCTATCAGGTGATTTCATTTCATTTTGGGTGAATTTATTGAATGTATTCTTGCATGAATTTGAAAATCTCCCTTTTGCTTGCTGTAGATATTTTGATGGTTCGGGGAATGTTGGGCCCTTTCTCAGCTGACGAATGTTTGAGGCTGCTGATGGAGCTTGCACTGCTGTGCAGTGAAAAATAGAAGTGAAATAGTCACAAAAGGCACAATGGAGTTTTACGTGTAATAGTGCTCCACATTATTGTGTCGAGCCCTCTCCGCTGGCAGAAGGAAGCTTTCCTCCTTGAAATGAAAAAGTCTATTTCTGACTTTCGAATCAGAAACTGGACAAAGGGGGTTGGGACCGAAGAATTTCCCTGTGAAGTTCTTTCCTCCAGGTTGGGATGCTTGCATGAACGTACATGGACAAAGCCCACGGGCTCACTACCTGGTTACCACCAAGCCTATGATTCGTCGTAGTCCATGTACGTTCCTGCAGTACTCCTCTGGATCTATGACAGGAGGGGATCGTGCTGCCCGGCAGTTTGTCTCTTCCACAGAAAAGGGCATTGATTAATCATGAGCTTACCGCAGAGCACAACGAAAGCATTGTAGCATGAAACTAATTTGTCTGAATACAAATCTGCACAATGGCACAGACGGCTAATTGAGGTAAAGCATAGCATCACCAGCATTGTATTCCTGGAAGCAGTGCAAGTTATAGATTTAGGTATCAATATTTATCTAAGCTTTAGCGAAGTCCGGATGCAGTACATTACTAGTGTGAAAGATGGAAGAAAAAGCAATGATATCCGTATACACCCGGAAAGAGAAGTGAGAGTGGGTGGGAGTAAGTGAAAGCACGTGTACAAGCTAAACATCTGTGCAACCGGAAAGAGCAGAGAAAAGGCTAAAGCAATTACACAGGCCATGCGTACGAGGTAATTTAGCAGTGAGACCCAAACATTCTTGTAAACCAGAATGCAGCTTCAGCACACATTTTCTATTTCTTCATGTTGCGCTGCTGTTGCCGTTTCCCAACGATATGATGAGGCTCTCCGTTATGCTTCTGCTGGTTTTCCTGTGCAGGTATGTGCTGCCGTAGCTCAGAGAAATCTTTGGCCAGGGTAGCCAAGATGGCATCACCCACATCCTCCTCTCCTTCAGGTTCACTTGTAGGTTTGGCATTCATGCTTGACATCTCCTTCAGTACTGTGTAGGTCTTCTCCTATTGGTTTTTGTCTGCCCATACCATTTGCACTGCTCAGTGATGTCGGCGACAGTCGCCTCCAGCTCACCATTTTCCATTTTTTCTTTACTTTTTGGATACGCTGTGTGTCCTTGAGGTAGCATTTGAGGCTGACCAGTTTTTCTACCTTTGTTTTGCAAACATTCTTGTCTAGTGTTCAGTGATTGAACCCAGTCAACGTTGAAGCACCCTTGTTATTCCTTTCCGTTTCTTTTTATTCTTGTACACCGCTGCCTGCAACCGTGCATTTTAATAGGTTTGCGAGAATCTCTTTTCACCTGCAGCAACCAGAGTTTGAAAGTACCGACACAAACTGGAAGCATACCCAGTTTCCAGACAACTAGCTGCTTCAAAAATTCTTATGTCAGATGAGTGACTGGTTGCGCAGCCAACATTATGGTGACATAATGTGTCCTTGTAGTTCTGTTTATTATTACCTGTATATTTCACTGTTCGCGTCAAACTCGGCTAAAGGCCAAGTTTTCCGCATCCGTAGGAACGCCACCACCCTTCAAGGATCGTGTGTTTTAATATTATAGCAGTGTATTTTGGTATTTGCTTTGACCATCAGTCCTTGGCTGATGCTGGTCATACCTTCAACATGTTGACGCGTTTTTCAAGGCATTCAATATACGTAGGCCGCAAGATTCTATCTTTTCATACCGAATACCGATGGCTAGTGCTTCCCCACTAGCTGCGCAAGTGTCACATCTGGCTGCGGCCAACTACCCTTTAATTTGTGTGCTGCCGCTATTGCTGTCTATGTCTCTGTGTGTGCCAGTATATGAGGAACGAGAATTGGTGTTATTGTTGTTGTTCTGGTTGTCATGGGCTGTGGCTGTTGAATGTAGGCTGTTGCTTTTGTTGTTGTACTTTTAGTTGAAGCTGCATCACGAATAGGTAACCACCTTGATGATGGTGCACAATATCCGTTGAAGAAGCCGCAAAAAAAACACTGTATTCTCAAACCAGTGAGCTGCAGAATGAAACCAAGTATCAAGCTGGCAAAGCTGTCAGCCACTCTAAACGAAATTTACACCAAACAAGTTGCTATTTGTCAACAGGCAGTCATAAAATTCGACTCCCTGACTCAGTCACTCTAGTCTACGACTCATACGAGTCGTACAGAGTCTTGTAGTCACTGAGTAGTCGACGTTCTTGTGCATGACAGCATGCATGCATCATGTCATGTCAGTACATCGACATGGCATGCATCCAGCACATGGCCATGGGAAAGCCCCTACAAAATGGCCTTCAGAGAAAGCCACGCGGTTGGAGAGGTAGTTTACTCGAAAAAACTGAGAAAGAAGTGCTTTTCATCTTCTTGCTGTTCAATTTTCAAGCCAGAAACAATTGAGAAGCTGCTTGAAATGTGCAGAATGAGGCGATTTCCCAGATCTTTGAAGCTAGAAAGCGCACTGGACCTGCAATCTTTTGGAACTGGTCCTTCTTGAGGACAGAGATCAGACTAGCCAGGTGACAATGCTGTGGTTTGTTGGCTGACAATATTTGGAGGAAGCTTCAGAAATGACCATGAAGAAGGTCAATTCTTGCTATTTCCTCAAGATCACCAAGGTAACAGATACTTTTCAGTGGAGAAGAAAATCATGATTCTTAGGAGTTGAGATCGCATCGGTTGTTCAATGTTTTTCACTTTCGTTTTTTTCGTTGTGTAACTGTTTGTCTTGTTGGCGTGGTTCACTGGTTTGATGCCTTACATTTCGATCATGGCCATAGTTCAGAGCAATTTTCTTCCTTCCAAGATCACTCTCTGCAGTAAATGCGCAAATATTTTACGGAATTTCGGACTCCGTGGGATGTCATATAATTGCTGGTAATGCTATCCATACATACTTGGACAGGACACCTTCCTAGGTGAATAGGACACCTTCCTAGGTGAAAGCTCGGATACTGGGTAAATGTCTCCACCCACCTGTGCAGGTCAGCCCATCTCCACTATAGCCGTTGTTACACTGACATTGAAATGAACCTTGTGTGTTAGTACACTGTGCGTTGGCATCACAATTGTCCGTGTTGATGGTACATTCATCAATATCTGTAAGAAATCAAGCCGCCATGCAGCAACAAGGAAACAATGATGCAACACTCCCCTGGTGAAAATCATTTTCGGAAGGATGTTTTTTTGTGGCCGAGAGGCTGCCTTGGTTGGTGTGTGATTTTGTGAGCGAGGAGAGGATAATGGCTCATAAATGAATATAGGTGAGGTTTCCCCCTTTGTTGGTGCCCATGTTGGTGCCCATGTTTGTGTCCATGTTTGTGCCCATGTTTGTGTCCATGTTTGTGTCCATGTTGGTGCCCATGTTTGTGTCCATGTTGGTGCCCATGTTTGTGTGTGTCCATGTCTGTGTGTGTCCATGTTTGTGTGTGTCCACTGTCTATGTATGTGTATACTTCCTCCGCGTCATTAAAATTGTCGCTTCCCAGAGCGATTTTTCGAATTTATTTTGTCCACTCGAAGGGCAAAGAAATCAGCTAGAAATTCAGGCAGAGCATCGTCGACGAACCAAGCTTTAGGTTATGGCCTCCCGCTTCGCTGCACTTGCAGCTAAGGTCGACGTCTTCATCAGAGTTTGAGGCAGAAAGGGACCTTTAGCACTCAACAATACGCTGAACAAGACGCGCGTTCAAATTCAGGTAAAGAAACTTCGTTTTCAAGCGATCCATGCCTCCAGGTGGCACGCTATGAAGGCAAGCTAGCATTTTTCAAGTACACTGTAACGACCTTCCAGCGGGATAGGGTAGGCGGTTCCGCACCTTCTTTCCTTGGCAAGCGCTTCGCTGATTTTCTTGGTGTTTTCAGACCTGCTAACTTCGTAGCAACATGCGCCACAAGTAGAGCATTTTAAGAATTTGAGAACACTTTCTTCTTGCCATCGTCACCTTCAGCATTTCGTATTCAGGAGAGATACCAGGATTCTTATACGTGAGCTTGCCGTCTTGATTAATTCCCACGCGAACGATGTGGGACCACACGAACTCCAGAAAAACTATATGCGCTCTGGGGCGGAATAGTGCGGAGCGCGATGAATTTGCTTGGTGCGGAAGAGAGCTCCGACAAAGTCCGAGACCAGCACGGCTTCAGTAACAAGTAGACATTAGACATCCTTAGCAAAAGTACGATAACGCTAACTTTTACGGTACTCACTCCCAGCCGTGACAAAATACATTATCGGGTAACGGAAAAACGTTACAGAGCTCAAAATAACGGGCCGACGTTCGTTATGGTAATTCTGCAAAAATGCAAAAACTCGCATTGTTTTGTAACTGGCGGGAGATGAGGAAGAAATTCATCGGCCTCTCCCAGACGTGCTGGAGCTGGAGAACCCTTACAGTCTTCGGTGCTGCGTTTAGGAAAGGTTTTCCAAGGACCTGGGAACAGCGAAAACTCATTTTCGCCGTGCTTTTGCTATTCCAGAGTAAAAGACCTCGCCAAGGTATTCTTTTGGAACGACAGCAAACTAATCCCTGGTTCAAAATTTTGAATTTCCCGCACCTGTTTCCACGAAAATTCATATCGCCATGGTTGTCGCGACTACTTCGTCTCAACTATAACGCACATTGTCTATTGTGCTAAGGGAAAAGTCAGCTTGAACGATCCGAAGTACGGAAAGGTTTGCGTTTACGTTAGCGTTTTTTTAGCTAAGGATATCTATTGCGTAGGAAGGGTCGCACCAATGTTTGACCACAGAAAACAGCAATTCAGACAGTCTGACTAAGACGAGCCTAGTCACAAACATTGCAATGTGCGAAGCGACAATTTTAATGACGCGGAGGAAGTACATGTGTGTGTCCGTGTGTGTGTGTCTGTGTGTGTGTGTGTGTGTGTCCGCACACGTCTCTGTGCGTGTGTACGTATGTATGTTTGTGTGTGTGTGTGTGTACGTGATGTATGTATGTGTGTGCATGTGTGTGCATGTGTGGCCAAGTGTATGTGTGCATGTGGGTGGGTGTCCATATAACGTTATGTGTATGTGTGTGTATGTGCATGTATCTGTGTGTATTGTGTAGGTTTGCACTACTTTGCATGGGTATGCATGTGAATTGTGTATACGTATGACATCTCACCTTCACACTGACGGCCAGTTCCTTGGTATCCTGTATTACAAGCACAAGTGAAGCTACCCACAGTGTCAGTACACAGAGCATTAGCATCACACATGTCTGTACCAGTGGCACATTCGTCTATATTCATACACTGCTCTCCTGGTCCAGTGTAGCCTGTACCACAAGTACACGTGAAGCTGCCCACCGTGTCCTGACACGTAGCTACAGTATCACAGTTGTGCTGGCCAGTAGTACACTCATTGACATTCTGGCACATCACACCGTCACCACGGTATCCGCTATTACAGTTACATGTGAATGATCCCAGTGTGTTGCTGCATGCCGCGTTGTCATCGCAGTTGTTGCTACCACCTGCAGCACATTCATCGATGTCCACACACTGCTGCTGAGCTTGCAGACGGAAACCCACTGTACAGCCACATGTGAATGAACCGTCGGTATTGCGACATACACCAGAGCTGCTATCGCAGTTGTGCTGGTTAGTCATACACTCATCAATATCCATGCAAGTCACACCATCACCTGCGTAACCATCGTTACAGGTACACTCGAACAGCGGAACAAGATTAGTACACTGCGCCTGGGACGCGCAGGTGTGCGTGTCTGTCACGCACTCATTGATGTCGGCACAGAGGACACCGTCTCCTGAGTATCCCATTACACACTGGCACTGGAATGAGCCTGGGCTGTTACTACACTGAGCGGTGGTACTTGCACAGTTGTGCGTGTTCAGAGCACACTCATTCTCATCCAGGCACACGAATCCGTTGCCGGACCAGCCGGCATTACATGTGCACGTGAACGAGCCAACGTTGTCTTGACACGTGGCTTGCACATGACACGGTAGCGCTGCGCATTCGTTGATATTCACACAGTACGTCCCATTACCTGTGTAACCTGTGTTGCACCGGCATAGAAATGAACCACTGGTATCCATGCAGGATGCCTGGTCATGACAGTCATGTGTCCCCGCGGTGCATTCATTCACATTCTGGCAGTCTATGCCGTCGCCGACGTAACCACGGTTACAGGCACAGGCAAACGAGCCGACGTTGTTCGTGCACTGTGCCTGACTGTGGCAATTGTGCATTCTCATGGGATCCAGGGTGGAACATTCATCAATATCTGTGTGTGACAGCATTGGCACAGGAATACATGAAAAACAACGGAGCATGGCAGCGTGTGTTGAGCTACGACAAGTACATGCTTATATTTTCATACTCCGGCACAACTAGAAAGTGCAGAAACGTCCTCAAAAGATCGTCCACAGCATGATGTAGAGGAACACAACGGATGGGCGTGGAAAGCAGGAGAGAGAGAGACAGAGAGACAGAGAGATAGATAGATGGTTGGATGGATGGATGGATGGATGGATGGATAGATAGATAGATAGAGCGAGAGAGACTGAGAGAGAAATGGAGAGACATTGCAACACATGCCTGCCAAGAGGACATGAGCATGAACAACAGTACAATGGCACAGTACTACCCGAACTTGACTGACAAACAGCATGGTTAACCAATGCAAAAGACAAGTAAGAAAACCAACATGGAACATGTGAGAAATGGACAGTGATTGCATGAAGCAGACGTTCATTGTGAGCAAATGTTGTAAGGCTTCGCCCCGCTGCATTTGATGCATTTGATGCAGTACGAGATCAATCACATACCTTCACAGAACGTTCCATTTCCTTGGAAGCCATTAACACAAGAGCAAATCACCGCTTGACCAACGTTATTCTCACATGTCGCATAGAGATGACAGCCGCCATTGTTGCTTAGACATTCGTTGATATCTGCAAGAAAGGAAGATCAGAGGTGCCAGGGAAAATGTCCTTGGCAGCAGCTCTTGTTCGAACATGAATACGCAGACTGTAGTAAGCACTACGATGACTATGACAACGACAGCAACCATAACAGCATTGCTTTCATTGCGCTATTTTCCCCCGTTCAAAAGCTTCTTGGAATATAACAGCAATGATGATGACAATAGCAGAAACAGCAGCAGCAGCAGCAGCAGCAGCAGCAGCAGCATCACCACCACCAGCACCACCAGCAGCAGCAACAGAGAAGACAACCGCCACGGCGACAACAAACAGCAGCAGCGGTAGCGGCGCTGACAATGAGGACGACGACAACAACAACAGCAGCAGCAGCAGCAGCAGCAGCATCAGTAACAACAACAACAACAACAACAACAACAACAACAACAACAACAACAACAACAACAACAACAACAACAACAGCAGCAGCAGCAGCAGCAGCAGCAACAACCACCACCACGACAACACACTCAGTATCACATCTTACCCTGGCAGTCCAGAAAGCGGCCACTACCGGTATAGCCGGGAAAACACTGACAATCGAATGAGCCAGGCAGTTCTATGCAACTAGCCAGGTTATCACAGTTGTGTTGCATAGTATTGCACTCCAAAACATCTGTATTCAGAATTTACATACACAAAAACCAACAGTCTCTTTCCCTCAAACCAGTTAATATTTTATGACTTGGGGCTCCCCGCGTGCTAGTTTGTACGTGAAGTGTGTGGGTTACAGTGAGGGCTGCGTCCCACCCGCCTGTGTGGATTCATAGGAAGTGTGAGTTACGAAGTCTGAAGAAAACGTTGAACGGCCTCTGCTGGGATGACGACTACACCATAGCTCAGTGGTTAGAGCATCGCTGGCTACAAGCGAGGGTCCCTGGTTCGAGTCCTGGTGGTGACAGTCAATTTTTTCTTCAGACTTTTCCCGTTTGTCTCTTTCCCTCAAACCAGTTAATATTTTATGACTTGGGGCTCCCCGCGTGCTAGTTTGTACGTGAAGTGTGTGGGTTACAGTGAGGGCTGCGTCCCACCCGCCTGCGTGGATTCATAGGAAGTGTGAGTTACGAAGTCTGAAGAAAACGTTGAACGGCCTCTGCTGGGATGACGACTACACCATAGCTCAGTGGTTAGAGCATCGCTGGCTACAAGCGAGGGTCCCTGGTTCGAGTCCTGGTGGTGACAGTCAATTTTTTCTTCAGACTTTTCCCGTTTGTCTCTTTCCCTCAAACCAGTTAATATTAAAAAACCAACAGGCGTGCACATTCACATGCACACACGCATGCACGCACGCACGCACACACACACACACACACACACGCACACACACACACACACTGGACAATTAATTCTCTTCGGATCAGCAAATATATACTGGTAGCTGTATTTAACATGCACTTTTCTACGCAAGCTACAACATACCCTGATAGGCAAGGGTGCATATCCTGATAGGAAAAAGGGGGTAAGAGTAGTGGTGCGGCCCTGGTTCTCAGCCGATCATGGAGGTGTGGGCATCAATGCAGACAGGACTCACCAAAAAGAGGCGAGGACAACACATGAGCAGAGAATAG